GGGCGGGGGCTGCGGTTCGGGCCATGGCCCCTCGGTGGGGCTGGCGGACAAGCTGGGACAGCCACGGCCAGCAGCACCCTGGCCCAGGCAAAGCTGATCTGCTCTTCCGTGCCGGAAGCCAGCCGGCACCAGGAATCCCGGCCAGGCTCCTGGGCTGCATTCCCATGCGCTGGCCTCAGGGCCATCCTGCCTCTGCGGCCCCCGGGCTGTCAATGCGCAGCCCTCGGGGCAGCCATGCCACCCAGGCACTGCCACCGCTTCTTTCTTTTCCTCATTTTCTTCTGCCAGGCCTGCCCATGGCCGGGGACAGGCAGGGAGAGGTCCCCGGATGGTCGCCCACGCTCGGCCCTAGCACCGAGGTCACGTCGCTGCACCAGACTGGCCAGCTCAGCTTCCAGCGCTCGTCCCCTAGGAGCCGGAGCGTGGCCTGGGCACCGTCTTGCCCCGGGAAGGCTGTGCGCAGCCCACAGTGACTCTCGTCACCACGCAGGGACCAGCCGGGGCAACCGAAGGGGCTTCCTGATGTCACCTCTGCAACCTGCTCCTGGTACAGATGCAATCCTTACCTTTAGCACAGTGGCAGTTCCATGGAGAGTGCATGAAAGGACAAACCTTAAGAGACAGCATGTTCCAGAGAGGGAGTCCATCCCAGGCTGAACTGGGATTTTATTGATTTTTTTTTTTCTTTTTTAAAGAGTAACTTTTAATTCTCTGGCTCCCCTCCAAGGAAATGACTTGGTATTGCAACTTGCTATCAGTAACATGTCTGCGACCTTGGTCAAACGGCAAAGATAGTTGAGCTGATGATTGTTACCTCCCTCTTTGTGTGTTTCATTTCTTTCAGCCTTTCTGTCTTCAGGCATGTTTGCCCGTGGTCCTGTCCCAGCCCCTTCCCTCCTTTCCAGCAGCTTCCCTACCCTGCATGAGCAGGAGTTTTGGATTTGCCTCCAGTCCCAGGGAAGTGGGACTTGGTAGGAATCCACTGCTGGAGAAGCAGAGGCTCCCTGACTCATTTAAATGACAGCGTAACTCTAGTGTTGGATGAAACGGCTGCCTTTGGGAAAGGCCAGGAACAGACTTTGCTAGATGCCATATCTGTTGTTGTAAACACCTGCCTGAAGGCCACCAAACCCAGAAATGATGCATTTCACATGACAGGTGTGCACACCAGCTGTTGTGCAAGTAGGCTCAGAGCAGTGCAGGGATGTGCTGGAATTTTAGAGATCAGAGTGACCAAGCAACATGCCAGCATGACCAGGAAGCACAGGACAGAGCTGGGGTCAGAAGGCAAAGCCCTTGAGCTGTGGTTCTGTGCCGGCCCCACCAGGCCTTTATGCCACCCAGGGCTCACCTGCAAGACTGCGATGGTGGCCTTGTCCCAGTGCAGAAAGGTTCGAGGCTGGCAACTGCACCCTCGCACATGGGCATGCCCCTCTGCTGCTGGGGCCGGGGACGCTCTGTAACTCCTGTGAGGCCAGAGGTTAGCTGGTTTCCCCCTGCACCAGTCACACGTGAGGCTGTTCTTGCTGCTGGTAGCCCATGCGGTGACTCCCTCCACGTTCCCCCTTCTACCACTCAACATCTCCCATGAAACAACTTAAGGGAAAACACGCCATCCCTCGATGGCTCTGCAGGGATAGCGAATCTCTTAACAGAGCACTTGACAGAATCCGAAAAACAACCAGTTTCCAGGCCCACAAACATTTTCCAATATGCAGTACCGCGCTTCCCCAGTAAGCGTCCTCCGCCACCAGCGAGACACACACCGCTAGCACTGAGCAGATGTGCACAGCCCGCCACGGCCTGGAGCCCCCACAGGACCCAGCCCAAATGCCCCAGTTCCCTACCTGCAAGCCAGCCAGGAGACAGTCGTTTATCTTTCAGATTGTATTTCAAGTTTATGATTTGAAGGTACACAACAGCCGCGACTGCTACCTGTCCTCATCACCCTGCTGTATTCTCTGCACGCTTCCGGAAACAGAAATGGTAAAATTCATTCGTTTACAGACAAGGATCTCACAAGGAGGAAGATAAAGGCACTAATCAACATTTCAATGATTATCACTAGCATTTCTTTCCTGGTATTAAAAACATCCTTTAAAGCTCCAGGCAAGCCTCTCATCCTGTTCTCACTCCATACTAAACACACAAGGCAATTGCTGTCAGCAGTTAACAAACGAAAGTCAAAGCCATGAAGCCAAGTTCATTTGCAATCCTACACACAGAGAGGTGAAGCAATCCGGGGTGAGATAAAGCTGGCCACCAATTCCAGATTGGTTTCCAGATTGCAGCATCCTCCTTCAGAAAGCCCCTCCCCAGGGGCCTCCATCTTTCCAAGCAGAGCTTCTTCCTGTCATGAATCTGAGGTCCAAGTCCTCAGCCCTCACTTCGGTCTTCCCCCAAAGAAAGCCCCTGCGAGGCTGTGTTACTGCAGCTGCTGTCCCAGAAGAGCTGCTGGAGAAGCAGCTGTACAGCAACATGTGGCTTCTTCAAGCACTGAAGTAGAGAAGAGGGGAGAAAAGAGGCACATACATAATTTGGAGCATGCAGCTGCCAATGCTGACACTGCCTCCCAACCCTGGCTCTTCCTCTGGCCCCAAAGACAGCATGCAACAGCCCAGATGCTATCGCAGTCCCTGGGGTGACAGGTTAGGCACTGCAAGAACATTTCCAAAAGCAGTAATGGCACTCTATGGTTCATGAAGCACTTTTTTTTTTTTTTGAGCAAAACAAACCTCTAAGCAGCAGATCAATGGCAATAGTTTAGATTTTGCCTGCTTTACAGAAACAGATGGCAGATTCCTCCTAGGCATGGCATGGTGAGACAGTGACACAGCTGGAAGTAAAGCTCTGGCCCTTCAAGTCCCAGCAACTTGACAAAACTCCTCCATTACTACCACAGGCACCAAATGCTGCATCCTGTTCTCAGGCCCTCTCTGGAAACTCCCATCTCCCACCTGCTTTTGCTTTCACCAGCTCTAAAAAAAACGGATGGAGATTGTGCTGACCCTGGTGGGTGAGATACCCAAAGCAGGGTGGTGTGAACGCTGCGCCACCCCTCCTGGAATAGCTACATTCCAGTTAATTCTTCTAACCTGCATTCAAGGTCCCTTCTGACCTTCTGTACATCTGAAATAGGATTTGCTCCACAAATGCTCTAAATCCTTTACTGAAGGGTCTTCCATTACTTTGCATGTATCTGAGGTTGCTTTGAGCGCTATCAGAGATAACGAAGGCAACATGTCTGTGCATGCATAGACTGTAGCTAAGAAGAGACCATCAGCACTTAGAGATGTGCTTTGGGGAGCAGAAAATGCTGTTCTTCACCTCCCTCCCTGAGCTGTGGCTTCACAAGCCCCCATCAAGGCATACTCTTAGTGGAAAAGTCACTAGTAGAACAGAAATGTCCTACTCCACTCAAGTATCAAGTTATAAAATAAGGCTACCATGATTTCAGACTCTCTTGGGTCCTAGTTAAATCACACCCGCAAGCAAGATAGAAGGCTAAGAGCCTCAGTGTAGATAGGACATGTCCTAATCCCAAAGGCCTGGTTCAACCCCAAATTAATCCAGTGTTTTGACTATAAGCTTCCATATGTCCTCTGAGCCAGGGAACAGATGCACTGTAACTCTAGTGGCTGAGTGGAAAAAGAAGGTTACTAAATGCATGGATAAGAGACTCCAAGAGGGCAAGAAGCGTAGAGAGGTGGCACAGTCCCCCAGCAACACTAAAAAGTATCAAAATTATAAAGGGACTATAAGTAAAGTAGCCTGTGCTAGGGAGGGGGGAATGGCCTACATTGGGCCTATGAGCCAATTTAGCTAGTCACCTCAGGTACTGCAAAGACGTCAGCAATGCGCTGCCGCATGAGTATCACACACAACGGTCCTGCCATGGTACTTGAGCCCTGCTGCTTTCTGGACCATCAGAACACCTGGACTTTCGAGAGCTCTGTTGGATACTGGGATGCCTGCGGAACCGCAGCCTGGTGCTCTATACCCACAGGTATCTGTGAAGCACACAGGCACAGACGCTGGTGGGGAGAAGACTCGGCTGGCCGGCAGCACTGTCCAGGCGAGGCTCCAGCATGGGTCTGGATGTAGCAGTCTCCAAAGGCACCTCCGGTTTGATAGGGCGAAGAAGTGAGGCCGTATCCTGGAGCACAGCTGGCCTGAGATCCCTCATGTGCCAGAGCAGGGCTGTATCCCAGAGCATAGCTCGGCTGAAATCCCTGGCTCTGGACGCTGGAGTGCTGCATCTGGAAAGCAGGAAGAGCCGGAGGCGAAGAGCAGAAGTAGCTTTGGGTGGGGTAGGAGCCTGGCACAGGGTTAATCCTGGAAGAAAACAAAAGGTTACATTGTATTCAGAACTAGCATTGCCTAATTAGTGCTGGAAGTGTCCTGGAGGTAGACTTCCTCCTGACCAGTACTCAGAAAGGTCAGGGCAAACTATCAGAGACAAGCGAAGCTCTTACTATAAGCAGCACTGGGGTAAAATTAAGATTACCAGTCTCCCAGGACAGATGTTCCCACTCCCACACCCACAGAATGGGTGCAGCTCCTGGACCCACCTCTCTTCACGCAAGGAACATGCAAGACAAATGGCAGTGTGCTTTAAGATTTCCATACCGATCCTTTCAGCCTTCCCCTGAACTACACATCCTTTAAGTTATTAATTGAGAGAAGCCACACCTGCCAAGCGCTATTTATCAAGAATTCAAAGGCATTTAGTGCAAGAAGGAACCCAGGGTATGGAGCAAAAAGGGAAGCCGAGAGAGCCACAAATAGAATGAATCATTCAGAAGCAAGGCCTAGAAACAGCCTTTGCCAACAGAAGGAATGACTCACCCTGCTGAAATACATCAAGAGACAATCTGCCTAAGAGCCAAAGCCTTTGGGACTTCAGGAGTACTGTTCATCCCACGCGCAACACCAAAATGAGTGCAGGGAGTCAAGACAATATTCATGAAGATCATGACTGCCAAATTCCCAGCAAGAGTAAAGCTCTGGCTCAGGCTGGAGTTTTGGGGCTTAGGGATTTTGGAATGTTTGGAGATTTGTTTGTTTATTTGTTTGTTTGTTTTTAGCATTCATGGACACAAAACATGATGTAAAAGCCTTAATCTCCAAGAAATGTTTCCTGCCTGGTGGCAACTTGGTGTCTGAAGATGTGTGAAATTAGGAGGGGGGAAAAAAAAGAAAAAAAAAAAAAAAGGGCTCTTAGTTGGGAATAGGCAAGAATCAAAATAATAAAATTAAGCCCCAGAAGCAAGTGTAGGACTTGGGTCTAGAACACAGAGACATGTAAATTCAGCTGCTGAATTAGAAACATCCTAGAAACACCTTCCCACGCCCTGCTTGACAGTCAAATATTTATGTAAATACATTCCAGCCCGAACAGTTTATTTACGTCATCTCCCCTAAAGAAAGCAGGTTTAGACACACAGCTGAGACATTGTGCATAGAAGTTATAAGCAGCAGCATTACACGGATCTAGACACAGGCACAGCCTGTGGTAAGACAGTCCCCCCTCCCAAAACCAGTACTAGTATGGAAAGGAAAGGGTAAAAATGCTGCTGGATTTGCCCGGCCTCCTCTGCAAGCACTTGGTGCACAGGTTTGATTGCCCCAATGGATATGTAAGGCTGCAGATCAGGCTACCAGTATGGCATTGCTAGTTATGTTTTCCTCTCAGGAGAGGGCAGATGCAAATATTTGGGAATGTTTCCTCTTTGGAGGATGCCTTACCCTGAGCTGATGGCTAAATCAATATACAGAATTTAACACTTAACAAAAATCCATCCTTCCTCTGTGAAACTGAAATGGCATCTTAGAATAGGGAAACGTTTGACCTATGTTTTGGAGCTTTTTAAAAGGCAAGTGAGTTCTCATGGCTTGTGATATATGGGAACTTAAAGCCATTCCTGAGTGTCAGCTGCAGGCCCCAAGGTTTCTTTCCAGTAAAGCAACCTTGCCTTATCACTGAAAACATGCATTGGGAGGTCTACATTAAATTTTGTAAGTGATATTTTTAATAATCACTTTTAATCACTTTTATTGCTTTGCTCCTGCACGGATTTGGATACGAGTCACTTCATAGCATTCCTGGGAGGCAAGGTGGAGCAAAGAAAGATAAAGATCAGGCCCCACGGAGCAACACAGCTAGGAACAAACAGCAGAAGTCCTAACGTCAGGGCAGGAACACTCAACTCAGCTATCGCATCAGCTGAGCTGCATATAATACACATTGTCCCTGCAGTAAATGAGAGTCCTTCACCTCAGTTTAGCGTTCAATGAAAGATGTTTAAATACAATTGAGTTATCTTGCCCCTTCCATGGATTCAGCTAACGTGTGAAACCTCTTAGGCCGCAGTAATGTTGCTAATGTAAGGCCACGAGGTGGTTATGTCCCTTGCTCCCTGCCTCCTAATGCCCAGGATATGACTGTGACAACCAGAAGAGAGCTTTTAAAGGCTGCTTAATGTCACCACTTATGTCACAGAATTTCCCTATGTCATAAGAGTTTCTACTAGAACTCTTGTACTTACTTGCTGCCTTCAGAGGCTCTTCTCTCTGCTAAGGACCCTGGGATATATTTCAGCCCCGGAATTCTCCTTAGCAGACTGAAAGGGAACATCCGATCCAGCTTAGAGCCCACTGACTCTGGAAAATCCAAGCAGAAACAGTATCCAAGACCATCTGAAACCAGCAGTACATTAAGGAGAACTGCAGACAAAACGCACTCGTTTCTAACGCAGCCACACGCACACAATCCCTTTCTGGCCACAAATCAGTTTCCCTGGAGAATTCTTCCAGCACTGCCCAGTGCCACCTTCACTGATCACCACCCTCCTCAGCCTCATTGTCACTGCGCGTCCTAAAGGCACCATGACCACGGTTAAAGTGTGAGGCAAAAAAACAAATGCAGAATTCAGCGTAGCGAGGACGAGCAAAGCCGGTGAGAGCTTAATGTGGGGCAAGAGCCATGAATTCACCAGGGAAACACCATAAAGCCAGTGCATCTTGCCAACAAGACACAGTATGTTCTCCCCCCCTCATAAATCAGCTATCCCACAGTCTGGTTCAGGGCTTCTCACTTGGAAAGGATACAGGCTTCCCCAGCTAAAAGCCCGCACAGGTTACTCAGGAAAGAAGAGTGGGGGATAAACCACGCCATGCAGAGCATAAACCACGGCACCAGCACCACGGGGATCCTAACCCCCAAAACCGGAGCCCTCTTCATCCGTGAGCGGGTGGTGGACACGCCCAGTGTAGCGAAAGCTACTGGCATGAATCCTTTGGCATCCTCCACCTCTGCCATCCTGGAGACAACAGCCTCAAGTAAGAGGTACAAGAGGGCTGAGAGGACAGCAAACGCAACGGTGAAGAAGCAGTGCTTCACAGTGCCCACATTCTTCTCAAAGCTGCCAGCAAAACACCAGATGATAATGGCACCACAGATTAAGGATATCAAGTCTTCATAGACAAAAATGTAGGTGACTAACCTGTGAACTGAGCAGACCAGCATATTAGAAAGGCAGAGACAGCAATGAATGTTTTAACCCATTACAATTATAAGCACGAGCTGAGGCAGCAGGAGCCTATGGGGTTAATCCACTTTTTCAGTTCTATCCCAGAGTAGAAGACAGGCAACTTCAGGCCTTTAAAACCAGGATCAAAGAACCAAATACAGTTAAAACACATGGTAACTTGGCATTGCATATATATGGACTGACTCTTGCTGCTTCCTGGGAAGGTGCCTGGCAAAGGGCAACAGTATCTATAGCAAATTTTAGTCTTACTAGAAAAGAAGGCAAGAGATGTCAAAATGACATCTTGCTCTCCTCACAACAGCTATTGCGGTCAAGAGATAAACACTTCTTAAGCTGCCATGAGAAGTATGACATGCCTCAGAAAACATCTGGAGGTTATTAGACCTCAGAAGAGCCCTCAGGTCAGCAGTTCTCCTGAGCACCCTGCAAGGACGGAGCCCAACAGCTATCCATGTCCCTCCCCTCAACCTCAGTCCTATAGCAAGGAAAATACAGGAGAGAGCAACACCCGATACAACCCGACGGCTGCCCTGGAGACATGTGAGAAGGTGGATGAATTCACCCATCAGCTCATGGCACTGGGCTATTAAAAGAAATCCCTGCATGGATGGTGAGCATGGGACATGGCAAGTAAGGATGTGATAAAAACATTGCAGAGATACCACAGAAACCGAAGACAGCAAATCCTAACGTTGTACCCCCTCCCTTTAATAGAAGCAAGGGCCAAAGATGGGGGCAGAGGTGGGAGCAGTAGGACTGCTGAGGGGTACAGGGAAGTGCTGGGAGAATGCGGTCAAGGCAGGAGCAAGGATCTTGGCGTGGGGAAGAGGCCAAGAGGTGCAGGGGCTTGGCCCAGGGAGGAAGCCAAGGGGGAGCAGGTGCTCAGTGCCGGGCAGCCCCCGGGAGCCGGCCGAACGGGAGCAGACCGGCACAG